TAGGAGAGGGAGAGAGAGTCTTAAGCAGGCTCCACGCCAAGTGAGGAGCCCGATGTGGGGCTTGATCTCACAGTCAAGATAACCTGAGCCAAAATCAAGAGTTGGATGCTTAACCGACTGAGCCACCCAGGCACCCCAAAACTAAATTTTTAGTAGTGGGCAAACAAGAGAAACCCTAGTCATCCTCTGAGGTTGAGAAAAATTGGTCATTTTAATAAAAATCTACAATTATGTTGGGAAAGTGAAACTTTCCAATATAGATAAGGCAATTTCTAATGAAGCTACCCTCTCAAATTAGCTGGGGTTAGGCTCCTTCATATAGTATGTGGTCAAATTCAATTTTCTTTCTATCTAATCCCTCTGAATCCTGTTTGTTCTCAGTCACACTCAAGGAACTAAACCACCTCAGCAGAATGAACAACTGGTTAGAAGACTAAACAGAAAATAGGAAGGCAATTTACTCTCCTGCAGTATAGAGATACAAAACTATCTAGATTCTTCCCACATCATTGACAGAATGTGAATGAATCAATGATACAGATTATAATGGGCCTCGAACAACTCTTTTTACTGTGAGGCCTTTTCTAAAGCAAGGTGGTATTATCATCTGTTCTTCCAGTTAAAGTCATAGTTTTGTAAAGATATGGACATAGGAAACACAACTATGCAGATGCTGCCGAAGAACCATGTTAGGTAATGACTTATGACACTAAAATGATTATACTCCTGGAAAACTGTTAAGTAGTTCAGAAGAACCAAAAGATTCTGTTTAACAAGACCCACATAGGTATGATCAAGGGACTTTAAACTGAAATCAAAGAATAAAAATAATCTTCAGTTAAAATTGCAAGACTATGAGTAATAATAATATGATAGGAGAAAAAACAGAGTGGAAGAACTAGCAGGTAATTATTAAGAGGAGAAATATGAACAAATAAAAAACAAATCCAATAGCTTAAAAAAATGTGTTTATAGAGAGCAAAACTGCATGCAATATCAAAATAAGTAAATCTCAGGGACTGTTAACACTTAGTGGAAAGGAATTCATGAATGGCAGCTGGCATTTGAAAGGAATGTCTTACAATGTTTTACAATGGAAGGTGGAAGATACCTATAAATCAATATACATATATATACACATATGGAGATTCTTGAACATGAGATAAAGGAACCCCCCCAATTCCCTGGCCAAGTGAGGCTAAAAGAAGGCAAAAGTTGTATTATTAAATGGAGTTTGGTCATCTGACCAGATGGAGGTCAGGCTTTCATAAAACATGTTGCAAACAAGTACAAGGATAAGATACAGCCATGATGGGGACATCAGCTATTCACATGTACTGACAGCTTAATTTTGCTCAAATTAGAGCATCTGATAAATTCTTGTCATGTGGCTAAAAATTTCATCCTCCAACAGATACAGGATGTAATGAAGGGAATTGATTTAACTATTTCATACATAAATTTAAACAAAAGCCAAAATTGAATGATGATGCAGAAGTGACAGCAACTCTGGTAGTGACCATGCCAAGGAAAGACAATCCTGGACATTGTCAAACATGCAACTACATTTGTGGTTGGATATTTTGACAGTCACTCATGATATTCTTAGGAAACAGGAAAAATAGTGGACTTATATATGACTTAATAACCATAATCCAAAGAACAATGACTGGCAGATTCATATCAACCTTGAGGGAGACCTTTAGTTGGTCTCTTCTTGATCCGGTCCCACAAAACATTTAAAATCAGTGACTTGAATAAAGGGTAATATATCTAAATATTTCCAGGTGACACAAAGCTGGGAAGGAGAGTTAATATGCAGGATAAAATAGTACATACAACACGTATTGATTAACCACCTTTTATGGGTAAGATGTCAAAGAGAATGCAACGATGAGTCAAGATACAATACTTCCTCTCATGGTTCCTTTTCAACAGGGGCAATAAAAATATAAATGATCAAAGAACAAGATATGATGTGGTAAGTTCCATAAAAAAAACTTAAGCGACTGGACAGATAGATCACTGAAGGGAGATATTACTTCTAGCTTTAAGTGTTGGTGGGTTCAAAAGGAAGTATTCATAGGAACATGACAGATGAGTGGAATTTGGACATGTAGTAATCAAGAGAAGGGGAATCTAGATTCAGAGGTGGAAAAGTATGGAACTAATATTGAGAAGGGTTTGTGGTTTTGCATGAAGAATGAAATGCAGGATAGGGAGCAGAAGGAAACAAAAGTTGGGTCAGAAGATTCTGGGATTCAGGTTGGCACAATAAACTGAAAACAATAAAATTAAATGAAACTTGAACTTTTAGGATGGCAGTGTAAAGATGTTGCTCCCCTTTTTCTTCTTAAAAATTACCCCCAAACAATTAGGCAAAAAGAAATAAAACACCAACACTAATTTTAATGACTAAGAAGCATGTATGAACCGTAACACATGGAAATTAAAAGCAGATAAAAGAGTGATTGAGGACTTAGCATAGCAAAGGAAGGCCAAGTCCATGTGCCAGAAGAGGGGATACCACAAAGAAGTAGCACTTCCAGAACCTTGTAAATGTTTAGGAATTAGAAACACACGTACCAAGGGCAAAAGAGAAGCAAAGGACTGAAATAATGAAAATTGGGCTAATAGCAGGAAAGGTCTAAAGCAGAAGAAATTGAGCCCCTACTCATACTCAGTAACACCAAGCAAAAGGATAGACTGAAGCTAAGTGCCAAGCAATGCCATAGAATTAGAGAGTTAAAAACAAAAACAAGAGCTATTATTTCTTAAATGTTTTAAAATAAAAAGTATTTTAATGTTATATAGAGTGTAAAATATTTTTAAATAGCTCTTAATCAAAAGAGCTATTTTTCAAAATACATATGCTCTAGCTCCAAGTCCCAACTTTAGAGATTCTTATTTAGTATGGTAGGAATCAGTAACATGTTTTGATAAAGTTTCTTAGTCTGAAAACCACTGAGCTGGTGTAAAAAATAAATCTATTACCAAAACCTATCAAAAGGTAAAATGGCATAGAGGAAAATGTAGGCATTTTCATTTAGAGGTAAGTACTATTTGCCAGTTATTGTTCTAGGAATTGTACAGTACACAAAAAATTCCCTACCCTAGTAGAGTTTGTATTTTAGTGATAGAAAATACACAAAGTATGTAAAATAGGTAGTATTTTATACCTTATTGGCCAGTTATATGAAGAAAAAACAGCAGGGAAGGGGTAAAAGGAATGGGGTCAGAGAGAAGGTAATATTTGAGTAAAAATATGAAAAAAAGTAGGGGAGCAAACCATTAAGATACCTGGGAAAAAGTGTTTCAGGTAGAATAGCTGAGGTAAAGGGCCGAGACAGGAGATTGTCTATACATTTATTCAAGGAACATCAACCCAGCTAGGAGAGCTGGAGCAGAGTAAATGAAGATATGAGATCAAAAGGGTAATAGGGGAGCTAAATTGCATAGGATCTCATAGGCTTGTGAAGGACTTTGGCTTCTATTCCTTGTGAAATGGTAAATCATAGGATTAGAAAAATGAATATTTAAAGAGTCATTTACACACACACACACATGATATATTTATGATTCTGAAAAACAATGGAATTTGTCTAAGTAATTAATAACAAAAATAAAAATGTCAAGGATGTCTGGGAACCTTAGCTGGCTAAATAAATCTAGACATTTCCTAATATAGTACCTTAAAGTGAGTGTATAATAAATATTTGTCAAATAAATGGACAGTAAATTTATACTGAAAAGGAAAATAAGAGTTTTTAAACTTCTTAGAAAGTCAGAAGCACTGTATTAAGAATATAACAATTATCCTAAGATGTAGTCTTTTATCAAAGATTTCAAGGCATTTTTGTAGATATCATCAAGTAGATGTTCCTTTTTCCTATTTTATATATGTTAGTAAGAGAAGACTAAATAAAGTCTTCCAGAGTCATTCTGAAACTTTTCCTCTTCTGTTTGAAAGAGTAAGACAGTTTTTTTAACAGTTCACATTTTAAGCTTAGCAGAGCTTTACTGGGTTCTACCTTTAAAAATTTATTTATCATAATTCATACTCAAACTAACCCTACTTTATTCTTATAAACGAACATTATATATTTTCATCTCAAAGTCTGGTTTATTTTTTTCTAAAGCTTAGAATCCAGGGTTTTGGCCGTCAATAAAGAATTTTGAAAGTGACAAATTCATTTCTTCTGACAGCCAGGAAAAGTGAATGTATTTTCTTCTCCCCAATGTCACTTCTGTTGCTTCTAAATGAACTAATCTACTCTTTCTGTCAGATAGTATTTGTTCTTAAATTATTGTGATAAATAATGTCATGGAGAGCAAAACAAAACTGTTCTTTAATATTAGTACTTCTTTTGCTTGACAGAATTTTAGAAATACATTTTTTTTAATTAGCCAAAAAATGATTAAGAGCTAGGTCCTTCAACCACTGCAATAGGACTTTCTATCAAAATGAAAAGAAATTAACTTCTGGTATCAGACCATCATGTAATGATTTCTCAGAAAAAAAAATTAATTCTGAAGTCATATAATATTAAAAGCTCTACCTAAATGGCCAAGAGACTTAAGCTCTTTTCTATGACCAAACCATTGAGGGATGAAATTCAGAACAAATATACACAAAACCCATTATTTGTACTAGCATACAGGAATTAAGCTAAAGCCGTATGATTTAAGAAATAGTCCACTTTCATTCCTCTGATACATCCAAGATTTGCTGATAACTTTATGTAAAGCAAAAAAATTTACATAAATTTATATTAAACTATGTTAATTTGAAGTATGAGATCAATTTTAACTAGAAAGATTTGACCTCTGTTTACTTTTTATCAGGGCATTAATTAAACATAAGAAAGAAGTGAGAGAGTAGAAAACTTGGTCACTCGGTTTAGCAGTTTTCTCAGATGGAAAAAATAACAATGAAACCTCTAGGGTTAAGAATTTCAAATGAGGCTGCTAGACAGAGAAGACAGACCAAATCAGCTTACCACTTGAACCATTTTGAGATATCTGGCATATCTTGGATCCTTGGCTACAGTTAAGATATTTTCTGGTGTTACTTCACTTTCCTGTGGTCCAGAGTCTTGTAAACTGTTCTGCTGTAGAGAGTATTGCGTGTAAATCTTTAGACAATTCATAGAAGGGGTCCATTATGTTACTTAAAAAGGGATGTATCTTTTTTATAATTCTAAAGCAATCAATGTCAGAAAAAAATCATATTTCTAAATTTAAAAACCAATAATTTAATTATGGGATATATGTTTCCAAATATTTACAAATACTTAAATATGATTTCAGAGGAAGTTCCACTTAGTATCATCCTATATTGTTCCTTTAAAAATGCAAATATATTCATGGCAATAAAAAACAGAATTCTGCTTTAGTTGTCCCCAGAGTGCCAATATAACACATGAATTATAGATGGACATATTAATAAAAATTTTAATAAAGCTAATAAAACTATTTCATTTGTCAATTGTTAACTCTAGCAGATAGTAAACTGATTTTCTAGGTATCTACCATCTATACAACTGAATTCCTCATTTATTAAATAATTTTACTCTAAGTGTATATGGCTATTCTATCATCTTAGAAAGCACTACATGGAGAATCTGTGGAAGAGAAGCCCATTTTTAGGACAAAATTATCTAGTTTTGTATATTTCAGCTACTGATGGAACTATTAATGTTAATCTACTTACAATAAAGAATACTGGGAAATGGTCTTTTTAGATAAAAATGCTTTTATCATATAGGCAGTTCTCACTTTGTGTGGTACTGTGTTAAATGAAAATTGTCCATATTGGAATCCTCTTCTCACTAAAATGCAATGTTAGAACTGTCTGTATACAGTTCTTGCTTTTTCTATCAAACTGAACATTTAGAGTAAGTTTACTTTTGTGAATTCTCACTCCTTATCTATAAATTAGCATTACAAGGAAGTGTCTTAACAGAATGAAATCAATTGTATGTCTACATGTCTATGCTGAAATGTAGATAAATCAAGAAATACCTTTAAATATTCATAGATTTTAGAATATGAATTATATATTAAGGTTTTTCCTCAGATAATCCAAATATAAATTAACCTGTTGAAAACTCTGAACCAAATAAAACATCCAAAATCCCTTAGGTTTCTCCTGTTATATAACACTAAGTATACGAAAGTGAGTAGACATATTTTATATATATTATTCATCTTTAAAATATATAAATACAAAAAGTCCAAAACATTTAATTATGTAAAAAAATTCAAACAAGACCCAAGTATGTTTTAAAAAAAATTATGGACAATAAACTCATACAATAGCACAATGGAGCAAATGAGAATTAATTACACATAGGACTAATGAATTTCAAAACTCAGCCTTAACTTTGCCTAATGACCATGATCTCAGCAAGGTTTAATTATGTCAGCTCTTACACCTTTGCTATTTGAATGACCCATTAAATCCTCTATCATATCTCTCAACTGTCCTTCATTTTATTCCCAATCTCCACAACTGGATGTTCTATTGTGAGTAATGATAAGATCTGAACCATGAAATTAAAGTTGCAGAAAAATCAGTACGCAAACCTTGAGTCTTTGACTCATATAGATTAGAGATTGAAATGAATGAGTGATTAAAAAAGTACATGATTATCTTTTATCAAATAAGTGAGTTGACTGTAATGCTGGTGGAAATTCTGTGTTAAGCAGTACTTAAGTCCATTTCAAAATATTTTACATAAAAAATAACAATAACAATGGAGAAGAAATAAGAAGTTGATTTGGATATTAAGAACATGCTGAACAGGTATCTTATTAAGCTACTCAACATGTAACTTGACCACAATTTTTTAAACCCAGGAAGCCAACAGATCTTCATAAATTCTCCAAGTGAATTAATACATAGTTCTTAAATAAAGTTGCCAAAATATACCAAATTATACTGAATTTTAGAAAACTTAGCTGTGATTACTTGTAATCAATTTTTTGAGACCTTAAATAGGTAGGACCAACACAACTGCATAAGTTTTAAGATACATATTATAAATGGCATTCATAACACCTGAAAAAATTAATATTCAAAATTAGACAGATACCACTTAAACATATGATGGTTAATATCCACCGAAGAATAACTACTAGGTAGAGTGAAAACATTTTCTTAGTATTTTTTATATATACCTTATTTTAGAAAAAGTATGGTCCATATTTAATTGAGAGGACCTTATGAAGTTAAACTCCTCTAAAACATCTGATTTTTTTCTTGTATATTATATATATATCCCAATGGCCATTATAATGCAATTTGGTAATTAAATGGATGTTAAATTTTCTAATATCTAATTGTTAAGTAAATGGTCATCTATTTCATTCCCCCAAAACATATTATACCTAAATTTATGGCTCCTCCCATGGCCTCGTACCATGTGTGTTCAATATATTTAATGAATTCAACACAGGTGCTGGAGACAGTGTAGTATAGCAGGTAAGAGCTAGGACTCGTGGCACTGGATTGCCTGGGTTAAAATTCCAGCGCTTACACTTGTTCTTTTGACCTTGGGCAAGTAACTTAACCTTTGTGTGTATCATTTCACGCATCTGTGAAGTAGCAGTGATAATACAGTATTTACTTCATAGGGCTGTTGTGATAATTAAATGAGTTAATTTCTGAAAAGCACTTAGAAGCATGCCTCGGAGGTACACTGTAAGCGCCCTCTGCATGTTTGTCATTATCGTCACAGCCAGCATAATCATAACCTAAAAAATATCCTGTGAAAAGTATTTCCGGGTACAAATGCAGAATCTCATATAGCTAAGAAGTCAATTTGTTCAGTATTACTAGACAGACCCACTATTTTAGTGATTATTTTATTTTGAATTTTAATGCCTCACTGAGATACACTAGAGATGGTCTATTCTGCAACAATGAGAATTTTTATTTCTTGACATAAAACGTAGTATCAAATTTAAATGTATATAGGGCATAAATGAACAGTAAGACATAAGAACCAAATGTAAATTGTGGCCCTTATTAGGATGCTGATTTGAACAAATCAACTCCAAAACCATACTTTTTAGATACTTGATATTTCTAGATCAGTATCTCTCAAATTTTAAGAGCCTACAAGTCACCTAGGGATCTTGTTATAATATAGATTTGATTCAGTAGGTGTGGGATGGAGCCTGAGGTTCTGTGTTTCTGACAAGGCCTCCCAGGTGATGCCCATGTTGCTGGTGCCTGGGGCAATCTTTGAGTAACAAGGGGTTAGATGATATTTGGGAATTACTGTTAATTATATTGTGTATGATAAAGGCATTGCGGTTATACAAGAAAATGCCAGAACTTTTTAGAAATGCTCAAGGAATTACATAGCGGTGAAATGATATGATGCCTGGGATTCACTTTAGCAAGTGATAAAATAGAAAGATGAAGCAAATGTAACAAAATCTTTACTGGAGAATCTGGGTAATGGGCATTTAGTTCCTCATTGTACTATTCTATTTTTGTGTGTGTTTGAAGGTTTTTATAATAAAACATTTTAAAAGTATCCTTCTTATAATAATGTAGGAAAAATGTCCATAGCGAACTTGAAGAACATTATTATGTTCAAGATTTCTCTTAGTCCTGTGTATAGTTTCTCTTTTACAGGCAAAGAAAATATTAACGTCAGGGAGTTCTTCAAAATAACCATAAAACAGTTAACTTTTTCAAGCTTCCTTTTCTATCTCAAGGTTTTAAAATGTTACTATTCAAAGTTTTACATCCTTATTTAACTTCTTTCAAACCTGCTGCTAGGTTTGTCTGGTTTAACCAAGAAGATGTGCTTATGCTTCCTGGAATTTAAATACTTACCTGTGATTTCTCTGAAGTGGTTTCAGAATGTGATTCTTTTGTGATGCCAGTGACACTTACAGGAGATACTTCAAATGTGACATCATCTAGGCCTGGGATAGATGACAACTGAGAAAAGAAAATTAATGTTGGCATATGAAGATAATATTAGCTGCTTAACTGCTGTAAGTTTCTAAGTGTAAGTTTTAGATAGCTATCTTACGTTTTTAAGCCTACAGGAATAGGGTTTATAAAATCTCATCTTAGGTGTCTGAAATTTTCCATGCCATAAACTATTTAAAAGTGAAAGGCATTCACAGATAAAATATTTTTGAATAATTTCTCATAAATCTAACATCACTCATAACCATTCTTTTCTCATGAATTATTTTTTAAATTTTATTTTATTATATTATGTTAATCACCATACATTACATCATTAGTTTTTGATGTAGTGTTCCATGATTCATTGTTTGCATATAACACCCAGTGCTCCATTCAATACGTGCCGTGCCCCCTTTAATACCTATCACCAGCTAACCCATTTCCCTCCCACCCCCAGAACCCTATTTGTTTCTCAGTCCATAGTCTCTCATGGTTCATCTCCCCCTCCGATTTCCCCCCCTTCATTTTTCCCTTCCTACTGTCTTCTTCTTCTTCTTCTTCTTTTTTTTTTTAAACATATAATGTATTATTTGTTTCAGAGGTACAGGTCTGTGATTCAACAGTCTTACACAATTCATAGCACATACCCTCCCATGTCTATCACCCAGCCACCCCATGCCTCCCACCTCCCACCACTCCAGCAACCCTCAGTTTGTTTCCTGAGATTAAGAATTCCTCATATCAGTGAGGTCATATGATACGTCTTTTTCTGATTCTGACTGACTTATTTTGCTTAGCATAATACCCTCTAGTTCCATCCACGTTGTTGCAAATGGTAAGATTTCGGGTTTTTTTTGATGGCTGCATAATATTCCAGTGTGTGTGTGTGTGTGTGTGTGTGTGTGTGTGTGTATGTGTGTATATACCACATCTTCTTTATCCATTCGTCTATTGATGGACATCTTAGCTCTTTCCATAGTTTGGCTATTGTGGACATTGCTGCTATAAACATCGGGGTGCACATACCCCTTCGGATCACTACATTTGTATCTTTGGGGTAAATACCCAGTAGTGCAATTGCTGGGTCGTAGGGTAGCTCTATTTTCAACTTTTTGAGGAACCTCCATACTGTTTTCCAGAGTGGCTGCACCAGCTTGCGTTCCCACCAACAGTGTAGGAGGATTCCCTTTTCTCCACATCCTCGCCAACATCTGTCATTTCCTGACTTGTTAATTTTAGCCTCCCAGGAATTATTTAAAAAAATATAAGGAATCCTAGTGTAAGGAATAAAAGCATGGGCTTTGGGGTCAGATTGCCTAGGTTTAAGTCACAAGCTATGTGACCTTCTGTAAATCTCTCTAGATATCAACTTTCTCCCCTATAAAGTGGGGATAAGAAAACTTACCTCACAAAGTTGTTGTAAAAATTTTTTATTAAACATATTTTGTAGAAAAAAAAGTCCTTTGCAGCACATTTTAAGTTTGAATTAGCTGGGAACTGACAAAACTCTTGTCATCACATTTTAATGTCTGACATAGCTCATTATTTTTTTCTTTCTTTAGTCATTTACCACTGAATATTACTAAAATGTGTTATTTTTCATAGATAAAAGATGGGCATGCTGCCAGTGGTTATGTATTTCAGGTTGGATTTGCAAGATCCAGGCAGACCCACTTTTCTGATTTCATTCTGACATCAGTGATAGACAACTGTCAGATGTCTGGCTAACTTTAGGGATTAATTTTATGGCTACGGAAATAATTAAGGCTAACTTGTCCATACAGTATCTTAACTTGTGACTCTGGACTCTAACTCAAGAATTCCCCAGATATTAAAATAAGGCACATACTCATAATGAAGAATGAAAAAAAAGAAAAAGAAACAATGGTAATAAGAACTGAAGCAGCAATATTCATTGAGAACTGCTGACTGATAACAGTACTTAGCACAATGGCCATGGCCCAAATAGTTTCAAGTAGGTATGGCTGCTAGCAGAATATGTTCAACATGGTCAAGGCCAGGTATCCTAAATTTTCCAAGCTACAGAAACATTTGAGAGAAATACAGTGGCTGAAGTCCACAAGATATAGAAAGTACAAACTAGACATTCTGATCCATTGCTAAAGCTTTAGCCATTTTACTTCCCCATAAATATTAAATATGTATTTTTTCAGACTAATTTTTTTGATAAAAGGACAAAGTCACAAAAATATACTAGTGTCTCCATTATCTTATAATCAGGGAAAACACAAAACCGTAAGCTTTCACATCAAAACTCTTTTCTATTTTTGCTAGTTATAATATGTAATTTCTGACATCAAAATTGGTATTCTTCATTAGCATTCAATATATTTGCAAATAGAAAATAGCTGACATTTTCTCCAAATTTTGCTCTGGAGCCATCTGACGTTTTATATAATTTTTACTGTGTTATCAAATGATTACTATAATTGTGAATTTTCCATCAAATGAAGTGAACTACAGAACACCCCAATTTAACATTTTACTCACATGCTTTTGACTAGAATAATGAAAGAAATCTCAATTCATGTGTACATTTAAACAAACTCAGTTAAGGGTTCATAATGAGTATCATTTTCTTTGCAATTATAATGAATTTAAAATAAACAAAAAACAGTGTACCACCTCATGGATGCAGGAGCTAAATTGAATTCATTCCCAAATGCAATTAAAGTTAAGTATGACTAAGAACGTGATATATGTGGAGCAAAGTTTATACTATAAATTATTCAGAAATACAAACCTTTGCATCTAAAATATTGAGAGTTGTTTCAATTTGCTGGATACGAAGAGAAAGGTCTGCCAGTTTCTGGAAAAGAAAGATTAGAACATAAGAATAAAGTCTGATTGAAATGAACTGTTAACAGGATAACAAAGGGCAGATTTGAAAATAAAAAAAAAACTATGGTTTAAATATTAGTCATTTTCTAATACACTATTCTCTTATTTACGTGAGTAGGAATGGGAGCTCAAGGATTCTCTTATCTTCATTAGCATGTTTCATGGCTACTTTACAAAACTGTATTCACAGGTAAGTAAAAATTACCTTATCAGCCTTATCAAAGTCATTATGAGAGCCATAATCAGTCATTGGGACTGGAATGTAAATTCTTCCAGAACAGAGATTTTTGTTCACTGCCATATTCCCCATACCCAGAACAGTACCTGAAACTTAACAGGAGTCTAATAATTATTTGTTGATGAATGAAAGAATTCTTCATATAAAACAAGAATAAAAATTAGCTCAACATAGCCTGGAACAAGATCTGTCTTTTTAAGTTACTTAAACAAGTATATACAATTAGTATATACAATAAGCCCCAAATTTAAATTTTTTAAGTTTGAAAGTTAAAAGATGATGAAATTAGAAAATGAGTCAGTTCAGGTTGGAAAGAAATAAAGAGAAAAAAATCAGAGTACAAAAAGGCAAAAGGAATCAACCTACCATCAAAATCCGAGATAAAACAGAACCAAAAGCTTACTATGCTCTAGTTATTCTGTACAATTAACTTACCAGTATGTGTGTGCACTATTTACAGCCACAGAAATAAAAGTAACATCATAAAATATGATCCATAAGAGCATTTACTTAAAACTCCTTAATCCTAAACATGATTATACTCAGTGATACAGTCCAAGAGCAGTTGGCCCATTTACTAATTGGCAGATGTGCAGCATTCTGACTGCTTTCTGGGATATTACCAAGATCTTGACTAACTCCTAAGCAGAATTTTAACACCCCAAGAAATGGTCATTTTGCCCACATTTAGAAGGGAAGAAAATGAAAGCAGCCACAGTGGAGTTAGAGCTTCTTCACAGACACTTTAAAGATGAGCAACCTGGTATCTATAAAGCTATAATTTAGAAATGAAACATCAAAATCTAGTTTAAAAAATTATTTATTTTTGAGAGAGAAAGAGAGAAAGAGAGAGTACAAGTGGGAGGGGCAGGGAAGGAGGGAGAGAGAATCTCAGGCAGACTCCATGCTCACTGCAGAGCCCACCTTGGAACCAGATCCCACAACCCTGAGATCACAACCTGGACCAAAACCGAAAGTCAGAGGCTCAACTGACTGTGCCACTCAGAATCCCTAGAATCTAGTCTTAAATGGCACTCAAAGCTAAGTTTAACTTTGATTTCTAGCATTTGTTCACATAAGGCTTTAATGTAAACATAAATACAGGTTTATAAAACATCATATGAATGAATTCCTCTCCAAATTTAAGTGTTTTCCTGGAAATCATGGAAATTAAATTTTTGCAAATTTCATCAGTCTTTTAATTCATCAGAGAAGCTTAGTAACTGCAGAAATCCTACAACAAATTAATTTGTAAAGTGAGATAATTTCTAGCTTATGTAAAAATACTTATATTGGTTTGATTAAAATAAACACAGAAAAAGATGAATTAAAAATTAATATTTGTTGGGGCGCCTGGGTGGCTCAGTCGTTAAGCGTCTGCCTTCGGCTCAGATCATGATCCCAGGGTCCAAGGATCGAGCCCCACATCCGGCTCCCTGCTCAGCGGGAAGCCTGCTTCTCCCTCTCCCACTCCCCCTGCTTGTGTTCCTGCTCTTGCTATCTCTCTGTGTGTCAAATACATGAATAAAATATTTTAAAAAATTAATTTTTGATTAGATATATTTATATAAATGTACTATTATTTATTTAGACAGCATGCACCCTGGAAGGGGATGAAGGGGGAGTGGCAAAGGGAGAGGAAGAGAAAACCTGAAGAAGGCTCCACGCCCAGCAAGGAGCCCAACATGTGACCCTGAGGTCATGACCTGAGCCAAAATCAAGAGTCAGATGCTTAACTGACTGAGCCACCCAGCCGCTCCTATATAAATGTACTTTTAAGCAATAATCATCATCATTGTAAACATCTGAGCAGTTACCTTATTATGCTACACGGTATATGCAACATATCATTTGAAATCTCACACCAAATGGATAAAGCAGGAAGTGTTATCATGCCAATTTTAAAGAAGGGAAAACTCAGTTTCTTACAAGTAAAATAATCTGAATTCAAACAGTCCAACGCCAGATACTACTTTTGAAAGAATTTTACATTGTTTGAAAGAATTATACATTGTTAGAACATGATGCCATAGACTCTGGGTGATGACAATGTGTCAATGTAGATTGTAACAAATGTACCACACTGGTAGGGGATGTTGGTAATGGGGGAGGTTGTGCTCTGTGAACTCAGGGATGCAAGGAGTATATGGGAAGTCAACCCTTTCTGCTCAGTTTTGTTGTGAACCTAAAAATTTTCCAAAAAAGATAAAGTTTATTAACTAAAAAAAACCCCCCAAAACCAAACAAAAAAAATCTCAAAACATAATTAAAAAGACACCAAGATGGAAAATTCCTAGGCATTGCATAGAATTTTTGTTATTCAAAGCTAATAAGTAATCAATCCACTTCTCACAAAGACTAAGATGCTACTGTGCTAAAAAAAGGAATCAAATTATTCTGATCTAATTTTCTAAAATACATGTTTATCTGGAATTATTTTTAAAAAATTTTCAGGGTTAGATCATAAAACTAAATTGTCCTTAAATGGGTACTCAAATATTCACACAGGATAGGTTAAGGATTTTAATACAAGACTTGGCAAATAAGCAAATAATGATGAAAATGTTTATTTGGAAAACTACTTGTTGATAAGGAAGACTAAAGAGGCTTGGAAAAAAGGTTAGACTTTCTAGAGCAGTAATTCTCAATTTTTTTGGATACAGATTTTTCTAGTATATCACCCTTTTGCTTTGGCATTCATTTTACCCATTCTCATCTATGATTATCAAAATCTCACCAAAATGAAATGACCTGCTTTTTTTAAGATTACATGAATGATTTATTCATGCAAGACATTAACACTGATCTAAATGTCAATATATTTTAATTTATAATAATTTATTTCAATATCTTTGATATCTAATCTAATAACTATAATAGTGAAATATAAGGAAACAGGGAAATATAATAGTGAAATATAAGTGATTTTTGTTGACTAAATTTTTTAAAGATTTTATTTATTTATTTATTTATTTATTTATTTATTTATTGCATGTGAGTGAGGGTAGGGACAGAGGGAGAGGGAGAGAGAGAATCTCAAGCAGACTCCACAATGAGCGTGGAGTCGGACACGGGGCTCCATCCCACCACCCTGAGATCACGACCTGAGCAAAAAACAAGAGTCAGACACTTAACTGACTGAGCCACCCAGGTGCCCCTTTGCTGACTAAATTTAAAGAAAATGTGAAATTGAAGTTAGAGGTAAATAAAAATAAAAATAGAGGTTTTTTTCCCCTATCCAAGCTCAAGTACCCCAAGCTTACAACCAGGATATAATTGATTTTCTCGAAATCAGATCAACAAAAGGCTTTTCCTCCTGGCTAGGGAAGATTTTTGTTGTGGATAAATCATATTATTTTATTATCCAAAAAGGTGTTATCCATCTTCTCTAAGGCTGGATTTTGAGTCTAAAATATTAAACATGTTAAATATATTATCTGGATTATATAATTTAACACTTTTTAAAAAATATTTTATTTATTTGACAGAGAGAGGCTCAGCGAGAGAGGGAACACAAGCAGGGGGAGTGGGAGAGGGAGAAGCAGGCTTCCCGCTGAGCAGGGAGCCAGATGTGGAGCTCGATCCCAGGACCCTGGGATCATGACCTGAGCCGAAGGCAGCTGCTTAACTGAGCCCCCCAGGTGCCCCTAATTTAACATTTTAATATAGGACATATTACTATATCACAATTTTGAGGTCTTTAAAGTACGTAATTGGTATCTTTTGCAATCCTACACATTTTATTTTATGCATTTAAAAATATTAATTTCATTTCATTGGACAGCCAAAGGATCCATGGCAAAATTAAAAACCTCTCTTTTCTTCTTTTTTAAGATTTATTTTTTTAATTTATTTGAGAAAGAGAGAGAGAGAGCATCCAGCGAGGGGCAGAAGGAGAGAAACTCAGACTCTGTGCTGAGCAAGGAACCTGATGTGGGGCTCGATCCCAGGACCTGGAGATCACAACCCAAGCTGAAGGTAGACACTTTACTGACTAAGCCACCCAGGTGCCCCAAGAACCTCTGCTTTTCAAAAATAATTCAGCATAATGAATATTTTTTGGGTCTATTCCCATGTAATTACTGCTATAACATACATAAATACATATTCTTTAGAAAGCCATTGTTACTTGACAAAAGTATACCTGGCTTCATTTTTGGGCTGTTGAAATTCATTTCTAAGATTTTTATGCCTCCTGCGTTTTCCCTCTACAACTCCAACCACTCAACCTTGGCTTTGTTGACATTTTGGGCTGGATAATTCTTTGTTGTAAGGGGCTTCCTGTGCACCGTAGGATATTTAGTAGAATCTCTGACATCTGCCCCACTAAAAACACCTCTAGATATCGCCAAATCTTCCCTGGTTGAGAACCACTGCTTAAAGTGTAGATGACTACGGATACAAGTAACATGATCAATGATAGTAACAGTCCCCACCTCAGAAAGTTCTAGCAGAAAGAGGAAATTGAAAGATAACAGTCTTTCCCATCTACTTAACCATCCTCTTATCTTTGTAAGGATTTAAAGCAAACCTGAAATACCTTGGTTTGGGACAATAAGGGAATTTGCAAGGTACCTGAAGTTTGCCAGATAAGCTGAAAATTTCTTGATTTATCACCCACCTATTTCTAAGGCAGTGCATTTTATTAAAGTGAAAAAGAAGATGAAAGGAAGAAATATGGAGTTAATAGTTGAACATGGAAACAAAAATAAAACACTGTGGCTTTTCAGGTTTGTAAAATATCCAGTTTGCATATCCAATTCTCTAAAAGAGAAACAACATTTTAAAATAATGGATCCCTTGGTATATCACACTGGGTTGAATATGTCTTATAAGCCAGAAAGGGAAGCAATCAATGCTTTTATTAATCTTCATCTGACACTTAAGCCCAGCAGTTGTAAAAGTTGTAAAAGCAGTTGTAAAAGTTGTAGCAGTAAATATAGTTTTAAGCAAGATTATTTGGTTGAAGGTGAAGCCCAATGGTGGGCTTAAAAATTCGATGCAGAAGATAAGCACTATAAAATTTTTTGGGTTATATGAGTATTCTCATTATTTTTTCCTTTTCTTAAAAAATTTAGAAAAAAGAAAGAGTTTGGAATATTTAAAAAATTATTAAAAACTCCCTACTCTAGGCATGTCACAAGTCTGAGTCAAAATAACACATGTGATTGCCCCGTTTATAGAATACCTCTGACTTTAAAAATCATTATAAGGTTTAATTTCTGCTCAGTTTTATCTGTAATATGCATAGAACTTGCATTACACTCCTCACCCCATCCCGTTTTAAATTTGCAGACCCAATGGACCACCATAAGATTTTTCTGATTAGGGCCAGAATAGAAATGCTTACTGGGGATTTGTGAAGGAAGAACTTTGTAACTTGGGTCTGATTCAACTACTTTCCTTTCTGTCTTCCAATCTTTCTTCCTATCCTGGTTCTAGTCATTAGAAGAGTTACAAAGTACCCTCGTATCCAGAAAGTTTTTTAAAAAGTTAAGTGCTTCACTTTTCTTTTTATTAGAGAACTCTAAAACTAGTATTAGTGATGAAGAAAGAGCCCCAACCATTTGTTTCAAATTTACTTCCAGGTTGAGTTTAGCTGTGACTGAAGTTGTTATAGTTTGGGTTTGGTTCAAAGCGGATAATGTGAAAAACAAAAAAACAAAACAAAACAAAAAAACCCCAGGTTTTTTCTTTTCCCCCAGTTCACTTCCAATTTAAAAAATAACATCTGAGTTTCCTTTTTTGCTGAGGGATACATAGTCATTTTGGCTCTTGTTTAAGGCTTTAGCTAAACAAGGACTGCAGGTCTAATAGGTGCTATTAACAAATAACAACCCATTTTGAAAAATCACATTGATCTTAGAGAGAAAAAAAAGGCACTTGATGTTTGAATACATATATTATATCTTTGGAATTTATCGTATCAAAGACATCAAATGGATATGGCATACCAAAGAGAATACAAATCTAAAAAATAAATTTTGAAATAGCTCATTGCAGTCTCTCAACTGAAAATGATGTAAACGTGCCTCTTGCCCAGATCAGAAGGTGCGATATTAACAGAAGAGTGAAACCTTTCTGGTTTTTCCAGTTACTAGATCAGAGCTGGAACCCCAACTCTGTTACTTTCTGTGTGAGTGTGGGCAAGTAAGAATAGTGATTGCAGCTATAAATACTATGCACACAAATATATGTTGACTGAATAAGGACTAAGCAAATAATTTAAATCTCTCTACATCTTAATTTCTGTATTTCTGAAAAATAGAAAATTAGACCTCTCTCAAAGGGCTGGGCTGTGATGACTGAATACATGTAGAGCACTTAGCACAACGCCTAGCACAGAATAAGCACACAATAAATATTATTGTCATCACAGCAAGCAAATAGTCTACAACTGACATAAATATCCAAACTGCTAAAATATGAATTGTAAATAATGAGTTAGAGTTAACTCCAGACTACCATCCATTAAGGAGATAATGAGTTACAGTCAACCCTAGACTATCATCCATTAAGGAGAAAAAGGCAATAAACTACCTTTAAACTTCATGGGTTTTGGTCAACAAACTTTTCTCTAGGGTTCAAGGAAGAGCTAGGGAATAGTGATACACTCAAAACAGTTAAGGGCAAGTTGAGAGAGAAACAGAAGGGGGGTTTGAATCAGGTGGCTTTGATAATGCATAAGCAATCAATAAACAAGAGAGGATTATTGTTGTATTTGATCTAGTCTTCAGTAAATAGCACTCACTTCCCAGGCAGTGAAAATTATTAAGCACCACAAAGGTGAGGGGCTACCCCTGCCTCAGGGCAGCTTAATGGAGCTGCTTTCATAGGTGTGTTTGCTGGTTATTGTTTTATTTTTTTAACCTGGTGATGAAGAGTATGGAGATGGGAGTATTTGCTCCTCTTTGCTAACAATCCTTGAATTGACTCTCTCCACCCTACCTACCTTGGTATAAAAAGTGAAGGAATAATTCCAGTAATCCTTGGTTTACTGCTAGTCAGTCATTTCTAGATCCCATTTAGAGAGGCACTGGTATGAGATAAAACTCATGGAAGCAAGCACCTAGCCTCTGAGCCTCTTAGATGAAATATATTGAACTGAATTCCTTATTTTATCAATTATCGTATCATATTTCACTTTTGTTTTAGTGAGAAGGCAGACGAGATTTGGACTAGAGACGGCTAATTAGACAAAAATAACAGATGTTACACAAATGGGAAACAGTTTTCCTGTCTCCATGCAATTTTTTACATCTCACAAAAACTACTTGCTAAAACTATACCTTAAAAATAAAACAGAATGAATTAAATATTGTTTTTATTGACTCACTTGTGAATGATCTCATTTTATTCCTCTTTCTCCTTTCTTAAACCCAATTTCAACCCATTATTCTATTTCTTCCCTATTCTCTTTTTTGGCTTTTTAAGAAAAAAAACAGGGGTCTCTGAATCTGGTACCTAATCCTTAACTAGTCATTTGCTCACAGTATTTATATTATTTTCATAATGATATTTGATACTAACATTATGTTTCAAGGCTACTTCCCCAACCACCTTATGGATCAAGGAATGTTAAATACTTTTTTTACAGATTTCCTTCCTTCCTTCCTTCCTTCCTTCCTTCCTTCCTTCCTTCCTTCCTCCCTTCCTTCCCTTCCTTCCCTTCCTTCCCTTCCTTCCCTTCCTTCCTTCCTCCCTCCCGCAGAGGGAGAAGCAGACTCCCCACTGAGCAGGGAGCCCAATGTGGGGATTGATCCCAGAACCCCAGGATCATGACTTGAGCCAAAGGCAGATACTTAACTGGCTGAGCCACCTAGACACCCCAATAATTTCAATATAAATTGAAAACAATGTGTACTTAAAAATGTAGGTCTTTGGGGGGAAAATGTAAATCTTTGGGGTAAGAGAAACAAATTTCAAAGTAAAGAAATGTTTTCGACTGTGAAATCTTGGAATTCCTTTTGCTCTCTGTCACATAAGCCTTAGTGAACTATCTCACAAAGGCCTCTAAAAACTAATTCAGCAGAGGTGGGATGCAAGATTGATGGTATAGAATCGAGGAAGATATAAGGTATGCTAACACAATAACTGGATGACAAGAGGTGATGGTAAGAATTAGGGAGATTGTAATTCTTGTTTTACTCATTTGCCACCTTTAAAAGTGCAAGATGATTTCTAGGCTACTCATTAAGCCAGTATCCAGACCTACCTCCTCACAAACTGTAGAAAAGCGGTTGAGGAACTGTACAGTGTGCACCACAAACTGGTTTAGAAATGCCACCGTTCTTTTCTGTTGAATAGCTGGCACCTGTGTTATGTAAAAACAAACATGATTTGTACAGGATAAAGTACCCCGTGCAAACGCTTTGACATCAGTTTTATATATGTACATACATATCGTTCTCTCTCTATATATATATATTTATATATCCCTTTGACATATAGTAACAGGGCATTTTGCTATGTTATAGGAGTTACTCGAAGTACTACAAATAGTCACTAACTTATTTTCCTAAACTGTGGGAGTGGGGTGTCCGATATGACATAAGTTGCAAAGTTTGAGAAAGGGCTTTGGATTCACAAGTGTGAACTTTAGCAGGTAAAGGCAACACACATAAACACACAAAAAACTTGGGGACTAAATAAAAGAGGTGGGGTTAGAGGTCGTAACCTGCCCCTGTCGCCATCGTGTAACCCGTGTGTAGAGCGACTCCTAACACGGGAAGCGAAGGCTGGGAAAGGCACACCACCCCCTTAGACGGATCAGGAGGGACCCCTTTTTAAAGTGAACTGTGGGACTCTACACCCCGAGAGCGGGACCAGAAAGGCCCGGCGCCAGGGACAGAGTTGGATATGGAGAGATGGGGTGTCCCTGGGAACCGAGCGTCCCCCATCCTCCTCCCAGGTCGCCTAATTTCAACTAGGTCTTTTACAAACCTTGGTCAGGTCTATGCCTGACCCCATGAGAGGAAGCCCGTCCTCATCCATCTCCTCAGCGGGCGGGGAGACCCAGGGCTCACCCACGAACCCCTCCCAGACAGGGCCCGCCCAACCCGGTAATAATGTCCAAACACCTCCCCTAGTCCCCGCCTCCGACTCCCTTCCCACCGGAAGGAAACGCCTCCGCTCGCCAATCACTCGGCTGCTCCCGTAGAACCCGCCTCTTTGCACGGCATTCTGGGATTGGTAGTTCGTCTGGGTTGTGACGTCAGACGCAGAGGCGCGGGGTGGGGCAAGGCTGCAGTTTTAGCAGTAAAGTCTTAAAAAGGGGGCAAAAAAAAAAAAAAAGGAAACACTGAGTCCGGTTGAGGTTATCACTACTTACCCCTCTCTGTTATATAAATAGCTAAGTCATTCGTTAATAAAAAAATATATACATTTTTAAAATCCTAAGTGCCGGATACTCTCCTAGATCCTGTGGCAATACAAAGACTGAACTTGCTGCACTGAAGAGTTTTATGCCCTGGAGGAGACAAAACTTGTTTCGTAAGGACTTTTAAAATTTTGAAATAAAATGTCAAATGCTACAAGTGAGGCAAACGCCGATGGAAATGACATCCACTTAGATCATCAAAAAGGTACAACAGACACCTGACAGTACTTTGCATCAGGTATTTGAAGATCTTTGCTCACATTTTGACTGTGCAGCTTGATACCTGTAGGACCTAGGACAGCCACCAGACCAAAATTTGAACCCCTTCTATATACCAACCAAGATGCTTAGTATTGAAAAGATGGAGAATAGTCTCTGCCTTAAGAAAACTTACAGTTTAGGGCAGATATATTAGAGTCTAGAAGTGCCGCATCTAGACCGAGGTGCCAACAATACTGAGAAAGTTGTGCACTTGCACGCACGTGGGTGTGTATGCCCACATAAATGCAAATATACTACAGATAAAAGGTGCTTCTAAATCCTCCGAGAAAACCAGAGAAGGTAGCTTTTTACAGGTGCTTGAGTGGAGCTATGCAGGCAATTTGGGGTGGACTCTTCTACAAAGGCACAGAGGCATGAGTGTATGGTAGTAGGGGAAATGGAAAACTGCTTGATTCTGTTGAAGCAAAAAAATCCCAGAAATGGAGAATAGTAGGAGAGGAGTCAGAAGTAGACAGAACAGCTCATTAAGGGACTTTTATGCCACATTTGATACTATAGTCCATGTTTCTCTAAAGTGTGATCCATGAACCACCTGTATCAATTATTTGGGAGTGGGCAGTACTTCTTAAAATGTATATTTCAGGGATTAATCTTAAACAGGACCTCTGGGGGTGAGCCTAGAAATCTGCACTTTACCCCCCCCCCCATTATTCTAAACTGAGAGGTTAGAAAGTTTGTTCTGTAGGTGATGGGAGCCATTAAAAATTCTGAGCAGGAGAGTGACACAATTCACTCTTTCATGACTTTCCTTTTATCTCTCTGGCCATTCATCTTTCCTTTGTCCCTTCTCATTTTCCCAGCCTCTGGTTTCCCACATTTATATATCTAAGCCAGATCTCACATTGGAAGCCAGTGTAGCTGAAGCAGAGTGAGCAAGGTAGGGGAATTCAAGGAGATGAAAGTTATGTGGGGGACAGATCATGGAGAGCTTTGTAGGCTATTGTAAGGACTTTGGAAAGATTTCAAGTAGAAGCATGATGGGAGCCACCGAAGAGCTTTAAGCAGGGGAGTGGCATGATCAGAATTGTATTTGAGGACATTCTATTTGGCACAAGGTGTGAGAGTGACATGAAGGTGGCAGGCAAGCCTGGAAAAGTTACATAGCTGTAACAGTCACCTTTTACTCCATTCTCCTTTACATTTAAACGTACATCAAGTTGTATGTTTTCTGGCTCCTACATAGCTTTTGAATCTATCTGTAACTCTCCATCTTTATGGCTACATCTCAAGTTCTAACATTCTCCAACGTTACTGCAATAACCTCTTCCCGCCTGCATCTTGTGTCCCTCCAGCCTAAACACATTGTATCCATATAGTGACTGTTTACAAAGACAAATCTGATTGTTACCCAGGATATAATTGTTTCTCATTTCCCTCAGTTTAATGTGCTCACAAGGCCCTCTGTATGGCTCGTGCTCACCTCTCACTATCCTCTCCATTTAACACCCTCCAAATGTCTTTAAATTCCTGAAACCAGGAATTGCTGTGGGGCTTAAACACCTTGTGTCCTTTGCCTGGAACAGTCTCCTTTGTTCCCTGACCACCCCTGCCTGCCTAACTCCTACTTAATGCTCATCTCCTTTATCCATGGTTTTCAAAGTTTGAATACAGTGTACTTGGAGGTAATTTTCTTTGTATTTATCCTTCTTGAAGTTTGCTGAGCTTCTCAGATCTGTGGTTTGATGTTTTAAATCAAGTTTTGAAAGGTTTCTTGGCCATTAGTTTTTCAAAAAAAATTTTGTCACTTTTTTTTTTCCTGGGACTCCAAGATACATGTATGTTTGATCGCTTGATACTGTCCACAGTTCTCATTTTTTTCTCCCTGTGTTTCAGAGTAGATAATTCTTATCAACCTATCTTAAACTCACTGATACTTTGTTTTCTAGTGTTCAATTTATTATGAAACTACTCATCCAATGAATTTTGATTTTAGACTTTTTAGTTTTAAAATGTCCATTTTTAGGAGTTTTTTCCTCCTAAAATTCCCTGTACCCTTCTTTTCCTTAGGATATATATATATATATATATATACATATATATACATATATATGTATATATATATAAAGCTACACTTGACCAGAGTCCCCAACTGGCCAGCTTAGCCTTTCTCTCCAGAGCCAGGAGAGGCTCCTGGGTGAGAGGAAAAAATAAAAAAACTAGACAGTCGCTTCATGGTTATGTATGGTTATCTATAAGTAGCAGGCATGCATAGATATAGAATTAAAGAAACATGAACTTCTCAGTTGCCCAGTTGACAAATTTTTTTTCAGTTGTTTGGTTTCTTAAAAAAAGACAAAATGCTAGATGTGATTTCTAGTTAACAGAAAGAAGAGTGGCAGTTTCTCTCTGCCTCCTGGGACCCTTGTTGATTACTGTTCATCAGTCATCCATAGCTCCTGACAGCAGTGCCATTCACAGTTTAATAACCAAATTTCCAGGACTACTAAAAACAATCTATACCTAGAAGTTTTGGCCAACTGCCAGAAGTCCTCTGAAGTATGTATTCCTTCCTCCAGGCTTTCATTGGAAATGATTACCAGATTTCATTTACTGTAGTGAATTTTGAAGGCAAAACAAATAGATTGTAATGAATACTGATTTCAAAGGGCAGAGATTATATGTATCACCCACATATATCCATTCAATAAAAAAATCTTAATGTTTCACAGTTAACTTTGTTTTCATTGCAGATTACTAGAAAATATTTAATTTTATCATGGGTAAGTTCTTAGGTAAGCAAAACAATGAGAATTGGGTTCCTATTTTTCTTTTGTATTTCTTCCTGCTCTGCTTCAGGATGAATAGTTAGAGGGGTGGGTGTTTCTTCGTAAGAGTGGGAAAATAAAATTAAATGTTCCCTATCCGTCCCCTCTGCCCTATCCCTTATGAGTGATACAAATTGTCTATTTGGACTTGGCTAAGTGAAGGAATTCTAGCCTACAGATTTCATTTGTGTTAAGAATTTGATGCCTCAGCTACTTCTTTTAATTGTTCTGCCTTTTCAAACTTTCAGACTCAGAAAGTTGGGTTATAGGCTTATATCCTATATGCAGGACATTGGATTCTTCTCTGGAAAGCTTACTACCTTAAGAGATCTAAAGATATTTGGTTAGGGGGTCCCCAGTAAAACAGCACATAGCCTAATGATGATCCTGCTTTCTTTGAGGGGACTTGGGTAGGGGGGAAGCTCTCACTGTTGCATTTGTACCCACCAGTTTTAATTTATGGAGGTGACTAATTGATGACAGAATGTAATGCTAGAGAGTTTATTACACATTTCCCAAGAGAAGGGGGCACACCATGCCACACAGGGCCACAGGGAAAACACCAGATTTTGGTAAGGAGGCAGACAGAAGCAGGAGCTGGGGTAAGGCACAGGCCAGAATCTTTATTGGGGTGTCTGCGGGAAAAGCAAGGTAGGGCAGGGGAAACAATTTAAAGACTGGCTGGTGTGAATGATTCTGGTGAGCTCTGAGACATAGGAGCTGTCCCTAGCTGTCTGTACCTAGCCCTGAGTTGACATAGGACAGGGGAAATATTGGCTTGGTGTATGAAAGTTAGATAAGTAAATAGTTGGGGTTAATGGACTCCAGACTGGTTGGTTTGCATATGAAAAAATGTACTTCCAAGTAAGTTGTTTCACTATTTTTAGGAATTAGCTAGTCATGGAAGAGGTGGTTTCTCTTAAGATCTATAAGGCCACAAATTCCAGAGCTTCAAGAATACAGAAAAATATATATCTAATATAATTGGCCCTGTGATGAATGGATGCTAAAAAGACAAATACAGAATCTAAGAAAAGTGAGAATACTCACCTTTCAGTATGTGGATTCCAGGTAATAGTTTCAGCAAGGCACCTCACTTCTGAGTCTAGAGTCTCATACAATATCTGAAGTGATCAGAGGGGAAGGAGCAGCTGTCTGGCTATGCAAGTAGGGGGAGGGTATTTGGAAGGGGGCATGTCTAATTACTACTCATCTACACTTTCAATCAAACCTCCTATTTTATTTTTTTTTAAGATTTTATTTATTCAAGAGAGACAGAGGGAGAGAGAGAGACAGAGAGAGAGAAGCAGAGGGAGAAGCAGGCTCCCAAGGAGCAGGGAGCCCGATACGGGACTCGATTCCAGGACCCTGGGATCATGACCTGAGCCGAAGGCAGACGCTTAACCATCTGAGCCACCCAGGCACTCAAACCTCCTATTTTAGTAAGCCCTGAAGCACTGCACCCCCCTTCAGAGGAACTGATGCCCCAAGAATTCGAAGTGTCTTAACTTCCCTGCCTTAGAAGATGATGCCACTTCTCTTCTTTCAATCCTTACAACACTCATTGCTTTCATTACTCATTGATACCTAGGCACATGCTATGATTATCTTTTTGTGACCATGTGATATTGCCAACCTCTGTAATTTCTTT